TGAAATGTGCTGGCTAGCCAGTTGTAAACGCTGTCTTTCAGCCATTAGAGATATCAACAACAAAGCACAAAGTTGAAAAGAAGGAACTAAAGAAGCGAGTGCCGTAAGAATCGAATTAACCGCCAAAGCTTTATCTCCCGCCGTCATTTTGGTTGTTTTCCTTGCTGGGTGACCTGGCTATAGTGTCAGCCCTCGCTCCTAGGGTTTCAAATTACCATGTAAACGCTCGGTATCTTCAACCCTACCAAGTAGGGTAACCCTATCCCCTAGGGGCACCCTCTTCCCATGTAAACATGCCCTTAGTCTATGGTCTTAGGTAGATGTGGTCTCCTTTGTAGCCGTTCCTTGGGATGTCACCTAACACTTTAAAAGACTCCAAAGGAGACTAAAGCAGATGTGATGCGTGCTAGGCTGAGTCAGTGGATATACATGTCCGATACACATATAGATACCCATCGTAAAACGTGGTTTTCCCATGGAATATATAAAATGTATGGGTAACTACGAACAAGCGAAAGAAACGTTACTAGGAGTCTGAACGCCAAGAGAAACGGAGGTCAGACAAACACGAGAAAGGAAAAAACGAGAGAAAAACATTAAATCCAATTTGCAAAAGGTAAAGGAGAAAAACTAGCAACCAGAACGTACCGAAACCAGATAAGAAAATACAAAATTGTCCAAAGAGATAACTGGTCAGAAAAAAAGGGAAACACTAGATTAAATCATGTTAATTAGGGGGTGGGGGAGAGGAAACGACAAGAAAAACTCGAAAAGCAAATTTCCGGGGGAGAGAAAAACCTTCCCCCAAGTCAGTTCCCAGAGATATTAAATTAGAGTTTTCAAGGAGAAGTAGTGTTGCTATTTCGCTTGACGGAATCGAGTTACGCATTGTTGAGCTGACAAGCAGCAGGAGCAACAACAACAGCAACAATAGAAACGTCACGTATTAGATTCGTGTTAGAACGAAACAAACGTATTTTTGTCTTAACTTTAACAAGGACACACAAACCTGGCAATATTTAAAGATGCCAAAGGCTAAATGTCAGTTGTAACAAAAGAAACTGGAGTAACAGATTCCACCTCTGAGCTCACAAGCCAACTGGTAACTGGTCATAATGTTAGTGAACCCGTGAAGTGATGGGATCAATGAATTTGAATTTATATGTGTACTGCGGTTTCAAGAAATGTATGAAACCGATCCTCGCACACTACTTATATAGAAGTGTAATAGGGCCTGAAAAAAATACAGGCCTGTACGGGATTTCAACCCATGACTTTTGAGGTACCGGGCAGTAGTAGGAAAAAGGGGTTTCTAGGACATTTTTAAAATTGCCTGAAAAACAGGGCAATTTTGAAAACTAATTTTTTTCATTTTTTATCTCATTTTTTTTTAAAAAAAAAAAACGTTTTTCAGGCAAAATGATTGGTGCATTTTTTTCTTTCAAAAATCAAAGAAAAATTGAAGATTTGATTCAGTGGGTTTCTAGCACATTTTCAAAAATACCCTAAAAAAAACAGGGCAATTTTGAAAAATGATTTTTTTCATTTTTTATCTCATTTAAAAAACAACGATGTTGTTGAGGCGAAATGATTGGCGCAGTTTCTTTCAAAATAATTAAAGAAAAATTGAAGAATTTTGATATTTGATTTAGTGGGTTTCTGGCACAATTGCCTGAAAAGCAGGGTAGTTTTGAAAAAAATTCAGTTACC